GTATTCATGGCCTCTGAGTAGCCCATCTGCTGAGCCACAGAAAGGCCCTGGCTCCATCTGTCCGTGACGCTTTGTGTGTGTATTTGTGTTATCAGGAGTTGACTGAAGAAGGGATCCCTTTCCTCATCCTGTTCCATGTGAAAGAAGACACGCAGAGTTTAGAGAAGTTCCAGCATGAAGTGGCTCGCCAGCTCATCAGCGAGAAAGGTGAGCCTGGCATTTAGGATTGTGGTTACCCATGAGTCAACCAGTGTTTGTTTTCAGAAGTGGTCCATGACATCATTGTTTCCTCTTCAGGGTCTATAAACTTCCTGCACGCAGACTGCGAGAAATTCCGCCATCCTCTGCTCCATATCCAGAAAACTCCCGCTGACTGTCCCGTCATCGCTATAGACTCGTTCAGACACATGTATGTCTACCCCGATTATAAAGACCTCAAGTAAGTACCAACCTTCACTTTCTCCTTCAGATTTAGTGTAGATGTGAAGTAATCTAGTTCTTAAAAATGCACATTTTTATCAACGTATGATAAATAATTAAATGTGTGGTCTTTCCAAACAATACCAACATCATATACTAAGATAAGATAAAAGATACTTTATTGATCCTAGTTTGGGAAATGTTTCCTTCACAGCAGCATAGATAAGACATAGCACATGACTTGGAAGTAAATAGAATTAAATACAAATAAAAGAACGATATACATATCAGCAGTAGAAGATAAACAAAATACTCAAAACACTGAAGATATACATATCAGCAGTGGAAGGATATACAGTATATCTGCAGACACTGTGCATCACCCATAAACATTTAGAATTTTTTTTTTTTATCTCAAATGGTATTTGTGTCCTACAAAAAGAAGTTGCTAAGTATAAATGAAAACTTGAACAAATGAGAAAATCAGCTGAAATGAACACATGAATCATCCACGTATCAAATCAGTCTGATATATTCAGTGTTCTTGCAGACATTTTTGAACAATTACTGCCTGATACTGATACCGTATGTGAAATTGTTCATCACAAGATCTCCTTAAATTAGGTTGATTTCATTACACGCACATGCACACACACACACACACACACACACACACACACACACACACACACACACACACACACACATACACACACACACAAAAATATGTGCGCTTCACAACAGAGAAATGTCACACCTCCTAACAAATCTGTGCTTTATGAATGGGCCAGGACACCGGAGCTAATGTGACATGATTTGGCACGTGCAATAAGTGCTAAACTAATCCAGTATAATCTAACTTAATCTTATTTATTCTGCCCCCTACCACTCGGCCTCCCCTAGCCCCAATCAGAGTCTGATCAGATAGACAGAAGCCCCCAGGACTGACCAGCCCTCCACAACCTAATTACATCACATCACCCCCGCATGTGGCACACAGCTTGTAATTACATTAGCACAGTGTATGTTATATATATATGTATGTATATGTGTGTGTGTTTGTGCATGTGTCTGCATGCTGCTGTGACTGGGGATCTGTGATATGACAACAGCTCATGACCTGTCGTTAATAAGCGCACTTCACAGGAAAGCGTTGATATGGATTAATGCTTCTTCATGTCTTCATGACATGTCCGCAGGGACTGGAGTCCTCTGCTGCTGCACCGAGCTCTTTGTCTCGCATCAACTCTCTCTACTGTCTTTATGGCTGAACTGTGTGTGTTGGAATGCCTTTGTCCAACCCACAGTCACTGGGCCTCATGCAACAACCACTCATACCAACAGGCTGGTGTTCGAGAGGCCTGTTCAAGGGATTCAAGTGAATTTTTTGCCTTCACTAATTTCTACCACAACACCAGCCACTGTATGATATGCTTTAGTCTTATCTCCCTGACTCTTAAATCCCTTTGACTATATGGACCCACTTCCTGTTGGAGCTATGGCTCAGGAGGATGAGAACGTTGTTCATTTCAGGGTTGATGATTTGATCCTTAGCTCTTTTTCAGACTGCAAGATGGGAAGATATTTAAGTCAAAATTGCTCATGTTCACTTGTGTTTAAGGTTGAGTTGTTAAGCAAATGATTCACAAAGTTGGGAAGGTCATGTCAGTGCAGTTAATATGCCATGCAGGCCCCTTCCTCTTTATCTTTGTTATAGTACAGCCCAATTTTGGACAGCTGTACTGTGACATCTTCTTACTGTCTCAGGTCCCATAATACATCTATTAAACTCGGTGTCAGATCCGGCTGAATTAGTATCAGTAGGCCTGATGCTCTGCAGTGTACTTTTGTCTTTTCACTGTTGGAGCAGAACAGGTACGCCTGTAAAGTTGGGCGGAGGGGTCAATTGTGCTTATGACTAAATCTCACAATACACACACCTACTCATGTATTGGCGGCACCCATCAGGCGGAAATTATTCATTTATAACCGGTTTGTGCAATTAAGTTAGATGTAGGATACGATTTAAGGACACAAATAGGTTCCTGCGTCGTGTTCAATGTTTGCTTCTGTGTTTTCTTTTCTCCCAGTATCCCTGGAAAGCTGAGACAGTTTGTGCTGGACCTTCACTCTGGAAAGCTTCACCGAGAGTTCCACCACGGCCCCGACCCCACGGACAGCACGCCTGGACAGGTCAGACGGCGTGACACACTCTGCATTCACTGAGAGTTTAGTTTATTTGTTTATATTGTTGTGGACAGTCCCCATTGATCCACCGTCACAAACAACAGTAAATGGGGCATCTTTAGCAAACATTGCTAATTTCCAGCTGTTGTCCCCGGCCAGATGATAATGGACGCCCTTAAACTCACAATACATCAACAGCATTAGTTATAAAACAAAGGATGAAAGACAAGCAGATACAGGCGAAAGGATAAAAGAGAACAATAACATGCAAACAACACACGTTACTACATACATGTCACATATAGCACATAACAGAAACAAGGTGCAACATCCATGGCTTAGCATCATCATGTGTGTCTAAACTGTTTGTTCTGGCGTCCCCCCCCCCAGGAGGAGACGGGAGGGGAGGCGGCCAGCAGCCCCCCGGAGAGCTCGTTCCAGAAGCTGGCGCCCAGCGAGACTCGCTACACCATCCTCAACCGGGGCCGCGACGAGCTGTGACCTCAACAGCCTTTCAGAGATCCTGTGACTCAATGCCACGCCCCAGGGTCGGGGGGAGGGGGGGGTTGGGACAGGCCAGCGGGACAGAACAGCAACACCCAACACCCTTACTGAAGAGAGAATGAAGAGAAGAAACAGTCCATGACACAACCATGTTGGAATAACCTATATTTTCATAACTCTTTCATGTACAATTTTTATTTTGGATCAAAAGGAAGGGGGGAAAGAAGAAAGTGTGTGCGGGCAGGGGAGCAGGGCATTAGGACATCAAGAGAAGTCTTTTTACTATTATTTTTTCCGGAGCTTGTAAATATGTTTGTGCTACATGGGAGTCTCATCGTTGGTCTAAATTAAATGCAGTTTTCTTTATTTTATTTTATTTCTTTTACATCACCCTGGCTTTTTGTAGAAGAAAAACCCCCTGAAGAGTTCCCTCACTCCAGTCGTACGGTTCTTATCTGTGGGTAGTTCAGCCTGTCTGATGAGAGATGTGTTTTTAGTCTCCTGGCTGCATCTCAATAATATTACCAACTCTAGTCTGATGCACTTGTATAGCACAAGTTATAAGAAGTTTGAAGTAGCTTTATCTCCATATCTTCTCCAAAAACGGTAGTTCTGAAGGAATAGAAAACATATTTTTAAATGCTTGATTGGGGTAACATGAAATCAAACCATGAGACAGAAGATAAAGATACAGAGCTACTCCAGCCTGTTGAGATGCACCCCCTTCTCTCCCTGGTACTAAATGCTTCTAGATTTCGATGTCTCTTACAGTGCTTATAAAAAGTATCGCCCCCTTGGACCTTTTCATGTGTCGCTGTTTTAAAGCACTGAATCACAGTGGATGTAATTAGGATTGTATTTTTTGTGGTGAGTCTTTTGGCCATCATAAGAAAACCTAAAACTCCAATAAGACATCCTCCCTACCGTAAAGCCTGTTGGTGGCAGCATCATGCTGCTCTTCTGCAGCGCGGCCGCCTTGCCTCTGACGGCAGAAGGTTAAATAGATGTCTGTTTTCAAGCAGGACAACCCATATCTAAATAAAGCCAAATCTAAAAGATTTAAACGGAGAATGTGAGAGAATTAGTGTTTGATGTGTAAAGCTGTTACAGGCCTAGTGAAAAGACCTAAGGCTGTAACTATTGCCAAAGGTGCCTCTATGAAGTATTGTCTCAAAGGAAATGGATACTTACGCAATCAGGAATTATGTCAATTTTGTACCAAGGAATCTAAACTGCTGATTACCTCCACTACTGTCAAACATTCAAAGTCAAAGGGGGCTTGCTACCTTTTTAAAGGCACAGTATTTGCCATGCCACCTCAGAGTTGTTTTTCCCGGGAAACTAAAAGAGGAACAAATGTTTTGCAATGATGTACTTTTAAAATGGTAAAAGTTCATGAAATGGCTGTTTTTGTTGTCAAATGTGTCATCATGCAAAAGACTTCCCAGTGTTTTAAAAAAAAAAAAGAAGCCGCGAGACAAAAAGGGAAAACCCATTCGACGAACGGTGGAAATTTAAAGTCGGCCACTTTATACAAGTTCTCTTAAAACTGGTTTTGTCTCTTTATATGTCTTTGAGGCTTTGGTACATGTCTAGATCCCTGAGATCTCCTGAGCATGAATAAATGCAAAGCCAGGTTAAGAGTGCGAGGACCCCATTGCTAAGTTTGTAGTGAGTGTCCTGCCCTTCCATAGAGGACAACAGAAGCCTGCATCGTACAGCCAACCAACAGGAGGGGGGGATGCCATTTCTAAACCAAGTCATCTCAGAGGGGGAGAGGAGTTGAAAAAAAGTAAATTAAAAACCATTTTACAGGATATTGTGTTGTCTGATGTTTTGTATGTCTCTGGTTTCATTTACCCTGTTATCTATTCATTCAACCACATTTCTGTTGGAAAAAAACACATTTTATTTGGCAGAAAACATGGCATGTCAACACAGTGCAGGTTCTTCCTGAAGCGAGCTGGACAGTGGCACTTTGGGAATTGTTGTGCAATTATGCTCTCACACTTAGCAAGTCTGTAAATATAACCAGTATACTTTATATAAACATTGAAACAAACACGCTACATCAGGCAATGGTTAAACCACAGTGACTCAATGCATAATCTATTCATCATTGCTACTGTAGTCTCCGTAGTGCAGCTGTTCACATTAGGATACTATTTCCTGCTTAAAGGAATATGAAGGCATGATCATTGGAGACAAACCCTGGTGAAGGAGCACAATCTGGGACAAAGCCCTTCCTTGTTAGGGATAGCATTTGACAGAATGGTGGGTAGGCCATCCAGTTATTTTAGCCAGGCCGGCTCAGATGATTGGTCGTGCTTTTTACAGTACTACGGCTTCCACAGATGACATTTTTTTAATGGATTTTTTGCCAAAGCACTGAAGATATTCATTGCTATCGGGATGTTAAGAGCATTCCATGGAATATAACAAAAGGTGTATCTCGAGACGGTTTCTCAAACTTACCTACCCCACCTTTAATTGACGACATAAAAAAAAATTAATTTCACCAAATCTCACCCAACCACTCGCTTAATAATGTAGTGTAAATAACTGTTTAGTTGCGTTGGGAATACACTGTGTATAAAATGTGGTAAAACCTCTTCACAGACAAACCATTCATACCCGAACATCAAAGTATGTGAGCGGCAACAGAGAAGCCTGATGACATTACAGCGGGTCTCTTTAAGGCAATGTGACACTGCCGGAGGTCCAGTTAGAGCTCCTAATCGAAGCCTTTAGTGATCAGGCCTGAGGTCAGAGCATGGAAACGACTGTTGGGTCATTTGTCTTTGTGTGTCTCCAGTTCTGGTGGCGGTGCTGTCAGTCGTTTCATCTGTAGATCCACTCTGGCTTTGCGTTGTTTCTGGACCTGGTTTCCGCCTGCGTACCCCAGTACCCCCCCTCCCAGAGCAGCAGCCACCCCTGCTGCTTTGAACCCCACCAGCAGGCCGAGGGGACCCCCCAACACACCGCCCAGCAACGCCCCGGCAACCGGCAACAGCGCCAACTTGTAGCCCACCGCCTGGAGAGACAGGGAGAAGAGATATAGTTTAATTTAACACACACACACACACCTTGGGAGGCATTAGTACTTTGTGATAGAGTTTGAACGCGTCTATCCTTTCATGATCACAAATCCAGCCACGGAAGGAGGAAGAAAAAAAAAGAAGAAGACCCAAACAAGCCTGCATGTGTAAATGTAAATCAACACCGCCATAGCTGCTTCAAAGAGTTTTCATTATCTCCATTTAGAGGAAATCAGAGAGATGTGGCCTGGGTGTTATTACGGCTGTTATCATCAGAGTGGAAGGTGTGCTTTGCTGATGACAATTAATGACACACATACACATGCAGAGACACACACTTGATTAACACTTCACCATTAAATTAATCTAGTTCAAAAGCTAGCATTGCTTGTCCCCACCCCTGTGGCAATTGAGGGAATATTTAATTTAATCTGAGCCGAGTTAAAAGGACTCTGGGCACAGGTTGTGGAGGACGGAGAAATGTGTGTGTGTGTGTGTGTGTGTGTAACGCTTTATGACCTGATGACAGATTACAAGCTTTCAAACGCGTGAAAACATCTGACATACCTCTCATCTGTTTTATCTCCCCCCCCCCCACCGTCTAATGTGCATCCCACTACATCCAGCAGCAGCGTGACAGAGGTCGACCTTTGTTTGTGTCGCCAATTGGGTGAATTTAAATTAAAATAACCCTTTCAAAAGAATATTTTAATATTTGTGCAATTTATTTTATAAATGTTAGAGCTGCAGCTCACAGTGTCAAAGGTTTTTTCGCCCTTTCATGTAATTCAAAACAGCTGATTTTACCCGACACCAATGGAAGTGAATGGAATCACACCATAACATTAAATAACAATGAAATGAAATGGAATAGATTTGGTTGAATATCGGGGTTTTTTATGCATTGAACACCACAAAAATATTATCTAATTTGTTCTTTAATGGTGGCAAACATCTCAGTAACCAGGACAACTCAGTATCTGCACGGCTCAATTAATACCACTTTTTTGTAATTGACATAATAACTTTAGGTAGCCTTGGCAGGACTGCGTAAGCAGCTAAGAAATGTCTGTTTTTAATGTTCTGTGCAGTGTTAGTATTTATAGGTTTGTTTCAGCACACAGGAATCTCGACTTGGTGTCGTCTAAGAGTCTGTAATTACAGTGTAATTACTTTAGGCCTCTATTATGTTCCTTAAAGTGTGAGCAAAACACAGATCAAAAAAGACTGCTTCATCTGACACACAAGCCTCTCATCACCAAACAAAATAGTAAAGTTAGAAAAATGTCACAATCCTTGGTAAAAAAAACAGTGTTCACTGGTGTGTCTGTGTTGTACATTAACACAAACAGGTGATTCATTCTCAGTATTACAGGCAAAAGTTCATCATTTCAATTGAGTAATACGTGTGAAGGGCACTGAGTCGTCCTTCTGAGTTACACTCAGTGTGTGAGAGTGTATTGAATTGATAATGGAAGGCCAGTGCTGCTCCTGAAAAACTATTAAACAGTCATTCAAACCTCTCCTTAACAACACACACACACACACACACACACACACACACACACACACACACACACACACACACACACACACACACACACACACACACACACACACACACACACACACACACACACACACACACACACACACACACACACACACACACACTCTGTTGTCCCCCCTCTCATCCTACCTCTCTATCACTCTTCCTCCCCTCCCCTCTATCGCTCTCCTCTCTCTATTTCCTTAATTGCAGCTTTCCTCCGTATTCGAGTGGATCAATAGGGACAAACGCTGTGGAATGGCTGGGAGGCAAAGTGCCATCGATCTCCCCATCTCTCAAACATTACACACACACACACACATATCAGATCATCAGGACACACACACACACACACCTTCCCCAGGCTCTTGGTCCCCTCCTCCACGTTGGCAGCGGCTGCGTTGACGTTGTCCTCGATGCTGTCAATCTTCTCCTGCTGGGACTGATGCACAGGGTGAGACACACACAAACACATATTAAAACACACACACAAACACAGTCAAGCAAGAGCGGGCACCAAACACACACACACACACACACACACACACACACACACACACACACACAACACAACAACACACCACACACACAACACACACACAACACACACACACACACACACACACACACACACACACACACACACACACCACACACACACACACACACACACACACACACACACACAACACCACACACACACACCACACACACACACACACACACACCACACACACACAACACACACACACACACACCACACACACACACACACACACACACACACACACACACACACACACACACACACACAAATAACAACAACCTGTTGTGGTCTCTATTTTATTTTTGCCTGAACAGATTCTGCTCCATGGCACAAGTTGGGTGTGTAATTAGTGTGTGTGGAGGCTGTAGGTATATGCAAAGGATTTCACTGGGGTGGGTTCTGTGTGTGTGTGGCATTTGTAGATCCATGAAATATTCAGAGTGGCAGCTGTCTCTCTCCATGTGAGGGCTGGATGGACACAGTGACCAAACAACAACCACAAGCACTTTCCTCCTCCTTCTCCTCTTCTTCCTCCTCACCCATTTTCTCTCTTTCTCCTCCTCTGAGCTAAAAGTTATTTATAGATTCAGTTCTGTCCATTTTTTTCCTCACCCATACACATGTAAATGCAAGTTGGTCAGTTTAATTTAACAAAATAATAAGGCTGCAACAAACTCAATTAATCAAATAATCTGCTTATTGTTTTCTCGTTAAAATGTCAACAAATTCGAAAATGTCCATCGTTTTTTTCCACAGCCCAACCCGACATCTTCTGTCTTACTTTCCAAACAGTCCAACACTTAAAGTAATTAATTCCACAATTATATGAAGCAGAAACTAGCAGCAAATCTACAGACAAAAAGTAGGGAGCTATTTCGAGTTCAGTCAGCGACCACTGCCTATTTTCATGTTATAATCCAACAAAGGCATTCAACTATACATCAAAACAAAGGAAAGACGTTCACAACAGTTGCTAATTTATTTTCTGTTGATCAACTTATCAACTTAATGTTGCATCTCTATTTCGTTAAAGTATATTTATGAGTTTTGGGCAAATCTAGGAAAGAATGAAAGTGATGAATTGACAAAACAGTCAACAGGAAATGTATTAATCTGAGCAACGCACCGTAAAGTCATTTAGTACTACAAAGAAAAGATTGATAATGAGCTTCATTGCTTATGTTTTATATTATAATATAATATCTTCTGTTTGAATGATCTCAAATTCAATCACAATCCTCTAATAAAACTGAATAAGCAATTAAAAGAGGTTAATCACATAAGATGCTTTTAAAATCTTCCTTAAATAAAAACGACTTAACAAATCATTTCACAATTTAACTACTGTATTTGTCAGTTTCATAAAGCACAATCACATGACAGGCAGATGACTGCCCTCAAAGACACACGAAGAGAAACAGAGAGATAAGAACAGAGGGCGGAGCTGACGTGACGCAAACACACACTCAGTATTTCCACTGTGGCGGAGCTGGAATATTACTCCCCTAACGGCGCCTTTCACCCCTGAGACACCACAACAACATGTCTATGCTCTTTCCCCCCCCCCCCCCCATGCCTCTGTCTTTTTTTTTATTACCCTAACTACATCTCCACTCTCTCACTTTCTTTTCCCCTGTTAATCTCTCCTCCGCTCGGCCGGCCTGCTCCTCTCTCTCCATCCCTGAGGATAGAGTGATAATCTGAGCCGTCTGCTTTCCACCTGCTCCGATGCAGCCATTGTCCCCCACCTCTCCCCCTGTGGAGAACTCGCCATCCTCCCGCAAGTCCTCCCTCTCGCCCTCGACTACTTCTCAATCTCCCCTCCTGCCTGGGCGAAGGGGCCTCTGGGGCCCGAGCAGTCATCCTGAGCCGATGTGTGTAGCCTCCTCTCTCTGAGGAGCCTAACCAGGCAACACAGGCACACGGTCAAACACTACTCACCACTTCCTGGAAACGCTATAGGCTGTCACACTGCTTTTGTTCACAGGGGTAGCTGTGCACACATGTAGAAAGAGAAATGTGAGCGTAGCAGTGGAGTACTCACATGGACGAGCAGCGAGAACTCCGTCACCAAACCACTCAGCTCCTTCAGATCCTGAGAGAGGAAAAAAATACCGCCTTTATTTTATTGTTAAGCTTAGTTATCACACAAATCTAAAGCTACTGTACGTCCACAGCATGAATATTAAAGTGCGTTGTATGTTTAGCAGTAAATCAGCTAAATAGGGGCATCTGTATGAACAGGTGAGAGGGGTCATCTGCATTAGATGATCTTTCAATAGCAGGAAATAAATCGCGTAACTATAGCAACATTTAGTACAGCCAAAGTATGGAAACCACCTTGTTGCACTTTGTGTCCCCTGCTTTGATTGACGCCTTTTTCACAGAAGATAGGTATTTTTGGGGCCTATATTAGAGATGTTTAGAACGGAGGAGACAGAGGGGAGGACATTGCCTGAATGTTTGGCCAGCTCTGGATTCTAACCGGCTTAATAGTCAGCAGTTTAGGCATATGGGCAGCCAGCGCTAACCACTGAGCTATCCAGCGACATTTAAACACATGAGGAAGAGCAAAGGCGTAAATAATAAAAATGGATGTTGGCTGCTTTACTTTAAGGATCCAGGTGTTTTGCCTACTGCCACGACCTACCGGGAAATTTAAAGAGCAACAACAGGGTTTATGTTTTTAGTAATGTGCTTTTACGCCAGTCAATCAAAGTGTCCGCTGTGAAAAACACCCACTGTGTTTCATTTGGCTGAACTCTTTCTTAAGGTCACTTCCATAACTCTTTAGCTGTTGTTTAAGAAACCCTTCATCCTATGCATTTTCTTTCTTTCTTTTAGGAAGGTAAAAATGGTAGATTTTTCTTTTAGAATAAAACAATTCATTGATAGAGATACGTTTAAAAAGATAAATACATTTTTAATAAAAAGGTTAAAAGTACCTGTTGTCTGTATGTCTTTAATATAAAATGCTATTTTAGTCAGGGAATAGTTTTGTTGTTTGCTACAGATGAAGCAAGTTTGATGATAGAACCTTTGTCTCGCATACCAACACTATGCTGTACACCCTTGAACTCACACATCAAGAATAAGGGACCATAAAGCATTCGAGCAAAAAGACACACTAATAACATTAATAAAATCAGATAAGGAGGATAATAATAATAATAATATGAAATCCATGTATCCAGTATGAAATCCAGACTGAATGTTTAGTCCCCACCTCTTCCAGGTTGTCCCAGGACTCAGCAGCACTCTGATCAGCAGGGATTTCTGGGAGCTGGAGCTGAATTTGCCTGTCAGACAGTGGCTCCTCACACACATCGTCATCGTCGTGGTAACTGCTGGACACACATCTATTAGGCTGAGCAGCAGGTGGTGTTTTGGGCGCAGGCTGAGGCACGGGGTTAGAGTGCAGAAGCAGGAAGTCTCTGGCGGCGGCTGACGCCCTGTCTCTGACCGGCTGGACCAGCGCGTCGAGAGCGGGGGCGTCTTCGGCACGGACCCTCATGCACAGCTTCTCCATCTCCCTCATGTTCGCTCTCAACTGCTGCAGGGAGGCAGAGAAGAAGCAGGTTTCTCAGTGAGATCAAGGGTAGAGAAATGTATTGTAAAATGTGAAGACTGCCTGATGGGTCTCTGTTAATAGCAGACTGTTTTGAGCTGTCTCACAGCAAAAACACAGAAGACACAACAAGACATTCCATTTATACCGGTCTCAGATATATATATATAAAATGGCTCTGAAGTGTTTGTCTTGAAATACCAAACAGATCACCCATTGTAGCATCCCATAATCCCCTCTGTTTCAGCCCTGTTTCCAAAGTGCTGATTCTCTGTCTGTTACTTCAGATGAAAATAAGGAGCCCCTCCCCACGCCCCTCTGAGAGACATTTGGTTAAAAAGAACACAATGGAGCTCTAGGAGGAGATTCAGGTGATAAGGTGTGGGGGGGGTTACCTTGGTTGCTGATTGGCTAATAGTTACACAAGCCAAAACATCGTTATGACATCATAAAGTGGCCAAAATCCGATCAGCTCATTTTCAGACAGGTTTTTATATAAATGAATTAGGACATAAAGTGAGCGAATCTTTTTCCTGAAACTTTCAGAATCTCTTTCCACAGAGGGGACGCATGTTTATGTATAAAAGACATGAAAAAGTGGATTTTGCATTTTACCTTTAAGTAAACAATTTATAAAGAAGGAGATACAGCTTAAATGATCCTAAACTATGAATGTAATAAACAAATGTACACATAACCTATTTTGAATCCTTTGAAAAATGTAATTCCTGGCCCTTCTGCCCAATTAGAAGTGCTCATGCTGACAGGTTGCGCATCCCAATAAACGGTCCTAGTGATGGAAAATGTGTGTGTGTGTGCGTTGGGGTGTGGGCTTAATAAGGTTCAGATATGAGGCAGGGGACCACGAGCCCCCTCATCGCACCGTGCCCTGAGGGTGACAGGAGGATTACATCCCAGCCATCAGCCCTCCAGACCGCCACCCGCTCTGGGCTCAGGGGGTCAAAGCACTGCCGATAACACACGCTGCTAATTACACAACATGAATAAACATACATGCATACACTGGTCCTCGTGTGCATGAAACTGAAAAACACACTGAGTAACAGAGAGGCAGTCTGGTCAGGCACCTGTCAGCCCGCAAATTAACCGTGAACGTTTGAAGCTCCAACACACAGACAGACCCACCAAACATATACTCAATAGCAGATATTCATGATAAAACAGCATTACTCCGCTCCTGTCTCACAGTGTGTGCTGAGGCTGCTGCGGTCAAGGTGGGGACACCGAGGCTAGGAAGTAAATGTCAATCATCAAGAAGGGGGAGAGGTTCTTTCTAGGGGGAGGGACAACAGACTAAACAGACTGAAAAACATCTCATATAGACATATTAGCCGACCTACGATCTATAAAGGGTGTGGTTATTACTGGTACTATTGATATAATGGTAATAATACACAGAATAATATCTGGTTAATAATCGTGTACCTCTCCTTTTTTTTCTTCTGTATGCTGTTATAAAGCTATGGATACAGACTGTTTATTTTGAGTGTGTTTAATTTGCTAAAAAGGAACAATAACTACAATAACATGAAATTAATCTGACTGATAGAATTATTATTATTACATAATACTATCTTCAGATAATGCAATCATATTTTTGATATAGTGACAGCCCTCCTTTCTCTTTCTGTCTACATACATCTATCCTGCTATGCTATGGAACACCGGCCCACGTGCACACACATCTGGAGCTGAGTAGGCTAACCCTTCTCTGGATTAACACCATGCAGACACGGTAAAGCACTCTGTGTGTGTCCCTGGAGTTGGCAAGGTAATGGTGAGAGGATGGGTTTGTGCCTGTTTGGAGTTATTTCACCTTCGGAGACATGGTGGCTTCCAGGCAACAACATCCTCTGAGACATTTCACACCCACCATGTGAACAAGACTGCAAGTACTTGAAGACACACACAAAAAATGGTCCATCCACAGCTCTTTTTTTGCCCTGATTTTGTAAGGCCGAACTTCTATACAGAAAGTTGATTTATTTATAAAAAAAACAGATCCAGTCCTGGTATGTATTTCATAAGTTATTGTAGTATAGGCTTTTTAAGGAAATGTATAAAATGTTTTTTTAAATGAACAGATTTGACTGATTTAATCGATAGTTTTAATCACATCTCACACACACACACACATTTGGTTTTACAGTGTTATGTAAGTATGTATGTTAAGCGTCTTTGAGCATTAGGAAAAGCGCTACAAAAATCCCATGTATTATTATTATTATGTTATACCTGCACAGTTCTGCTGGCATTGATGTGCTCCAGATGAAGCCGGTCCCATTGTTGGCTCTGTTGGAACTGTACAAAATAAAGGAGAAACTGTTATCCATGTGAGGACTGGAAGTGAGAATGTGGATGTGAGAGTGGGATCATGTATCCAGCCAGATCTCATCCGTCACCTTCAGTATGTTGTTGTGGTGTTTCTGCAGCCTCTCCAGGTCCGTGGGCAGAGCCACTTTAATGAACTTGTGGATCGGTGCCTCCAAGCGCCTCAGAGTCAGCTTGCTGCCTTCCTCTGCCATGTGTCCTGCTGACTGCCCACAGCCAACACCTCTTTGTAACTTAGACACGGGCACCTGCTCAGCCTTATCTCACTGCCCCCACAGACACTGTAAATACCAGCAGAGTATGATTTTATTAAATACGTAAATCAAATGAATAAACTCTGTGACACATGCAAGTCTGCCCACATATCTCAAATTGGAACCTCCCTAAGACTGCAATTATTTGTCTTGCCTACATCCTTTCAGTGAAAAGAGAAACTGAAGTATCACTTGCATGACACACTGACAGTTTAACATATACACAGAAATAATAACTTTATCGGTAAATTAGTCAACAGCAAATTAAATGAAATATTTGTCAAATATTCAAATGTTGTGCCTTATCTGTTTTATATCGTATCACATTGAAAGACTTTGGATATGAAAAACTGGGGCAGACATTTTGTATTACTTGACATGTTGTCGATTTAAATGACAGAAATGTATTTTATGTATTATTATTATTATGTACTTGTAGAAAAACAATCCCCAGATTTAACAACAATGCTAATAATTGTTAGCAGCAGCAGTTCATAATAATGCTTTAAGACAATGTTACTCCTACTGTAGAGTTAATGAGGGCTATTTTAATGGCTTAAGAAGCAATGTAAGTTTACCAGACTAGTTACCAATTATAGAAGTCAAGAGAACTGTTTATTCGAGTAGAAGTGGTTACATCTCTTAACTCAGCTGTGTTTTTAGACACCTGAATGGAAATTGATAATGCTTAGAGACATACAGTTTGACAAAAGCTGAAGCTAAATGACCGGGCTAGCATGTCATTAGCTGTTAGCTTAGTAATGAAGGTTATTTAGCTAATACTTGTCTTAGATGTTAGCTGGCTCACTCATTAGCCCGAAAATAATGAAATACCAGTCTACTACAGACAACGATAATGAAAGTTAAAGGTTATATGGCGACACTTACCCCTGAAATTATCACTTCAAGATATATTTTATATTCACTAAGGACTGACTCGAACCTCCATACTGTTTACAAGATTGACTATTTTCTTGTTTAGAGCAAAGCTTTCTGTTTTTGTTCTGAATCTGCTGTTTGTAAACAACTCTCCTCAGTGCGTCCATGAAAAGTTTCCGACCTCCACCAGCAGCCGCAGCACATTGTGTTCCTGATCGCTGTACCACGACAAGACATTTCTAAAAGAATAAATAAATACATGAATATGGACAACGATACAATAATAAGAGCATATTTATATCTATAGTAATTATATTTGAAGGTAAAGCATATAAAAGAAGATAACAATAGTACTGGATCAGAATACACAAATAACACCAGACCAGTGGATTACACACTCAGAATGCTTTCATCAGAAGTTAATTTAATATTACATGTATATGTAATGGGTTGAAACTACGTTGTTTGTGATTCACATGTACATTTCTAAGGCTTATTTCTTGATTCTCTTCCACACTTAATAGTATAAAATTGAAATAAATTAACCAGACTAAATACATGTATTAGAATTAAAGGATTATATAGGCCTATGTCTTTATCATATTGCAACAGTAGCTACTTGATCTTAATGAAGAGAAATAAAAGACGTATCAACAATTCCCATTTATCTGTAAACACACCTATACGTCACACATATTTGACTAAGATTATAGCAGAGATAAGTGATTGGATTTATTTAGACACATGTGGATACGTTTTCTTTTATCTTATGGTTGCACTTATAAACAGCATCAATCCTGCGGAATAAAAAAAAAGTGTTTTTGTTTGTGTTTTGTTTGGGAGATAATTGTTGGGGTTCCCCCTCCTCTACTCTGAGATCAGCCTGTGTGAGTGGGTATATTGCATGCTTCAACTCCTCTTCTTCGACACCTTTTACCTTTGACATTTAGGCCAACACCCCACACACTCTTCCTTCAGCGGATGCTCCACGCGAGGGGCCGCAGTGAAACAAACAGTCCCCAGCTAAAGAGGATTTCCCCTAGTGATGTACACATGTTCTGTGTGTGTCTGTGTGTGTCTTTGTGTGTGTCTGTCTGTCTGTCCACTTCCAGGGGACTCCCAGTGTTGCAGACTGAGGGGGAAGAACAGTCAGACAGTACAAATCTAAATAGCAAATCATCAGAAATGTTAAGGTTCAAGGTGTGGTTCATGTGTGTGTGTGTGTGTGTGTGTAAGTGTGTGTGAGTTTGTGTGTGCGGGTGCGTGGACTCAGGTGCCCTTCATTTCAGTCTAATCCAGGAAGTAAGTCAGCAGGAGTGGAAGGCAGCAGGAAGCCCCGTTCACTTCTTACTTCCTGCATCTTACTGTTCTTTAGAGCAGGTGTGATCAACACATCCTGATTTCTCAGTGGATACAGCCCTTTTTCTCAGCAGACTCAGCATGGTTGGAAAGGCACAGGTGTTACTAAAATCATTAACATTAATAGCATCATTCTATTCAAGTGTTAGACATCATGAACAAAAAAAAAACAGGACCCTTGAACTGAAGCAGCTAAATGGAATTCAGCAATAATGAATATAATTTACACCTGGATTTTAAAACTGTCAAATTATCTTCTCGTTCTGTGAAAAAACCCTAATGTTTCTGTAAACCTGCAGGTTTATATTCACATGTAAACATTTGGATATCATCAGTCTGAAAGGGGTCATTTTACATTTCTCAATGGATTAGAATACACTTTGAATGTGTGTGTGTGCTGGTGCATATATATTTGTGTGTGTATGTTCTAATGGGACCTCTAATTAAGACTGGGGGTATTTGCTATCTGTCAACACTGATCGATTGGCCGGGAGACTGACAGCTCACTGTGTATGTGTGCGCACATTTAAGTTTGAGTGTGTGTGTTTCAAGCTTCGAGCAGACCAATCGGCCTCGTGGTGGGGTTATTTTACTTGTCACTCAGAGATGTCACTGTCGTAGAAATAAGATAAACACATTAACACGTTAATTTGCACACACAGTACACAAATGCAGGCATAAACACTCCACTGCAAAGTGATGTAAATGGTCTTTTCCTGCACACACAGAAACAATGTTTAAGTGCACTTTCTGGTTATTATTTATCACCAAAGGCGCTTGTTTTGTCTGGTTCCTAACATCTCTGTTTTATTATAAAGGACACATATGTATTTTATTTTTATTGTGGAGAGATGTTCACAAGTCTTTTTTTGCAAGTCCAAGTCAAGTCTCAAGTCTTTGGTCACGAGTCCAAGTCAAGTCTCAAGTCTTTGTGGGGTGAGACTTGATCAAGTCTCAAGTCTTTGGTCACGAGTCCAAGTCAAGTCTCAAGTCTCTAAAAAATAAAAGTCTCATGTCTCTTCTGGTTGTAATAAGCCTTCTATTGTCTGCTGCTATCCAGTCTGTTAAGAATATTGCACAGCTATATCTAAGACATTCAAAGCATTTACTGTATTAGTATCACTCCTGTCCTTTTGGTGACAGAGCCTTCAGTGTGGCATCCCCCACCCTCTGGAACTCTCTCCCCCCCGAAATCCGCAGCGCCCCAACCCTGGACATTTTCAAAAAAGCCCTCAAAACGCACCTTTTTACCAAGGCTTTCGCCACTGTATAGTTAGTTTAATAGGTTTATTTTTCCGCTACTTCCCCCCCCCCCCACCCCCTTAACCTGTCTGCCTTTTTTCCCCTACTCCCCCCCCCCCCCCCCCCCCCTACCCGACTTGTAAAGCGACCTTGGGTTTCCTGAAAGGCGCTATAAAAATATTATGTATTATTATTATTACTCCTATATCTATTAGCATACAGTATCAGTACTGATTAGTTGTTTGTTAGGCTATATGATCACTTTAAAACAGGCTATTGCAATGCAATATGAGGAAAAACATCACACTTTAGCTAAATGCAAACAACTTATAAGCAAAACACTTCAGAATCAGAAATCAGTATCACAAACACTTTATTAATCCCCCGCAGGGAAACTGTGTTAAAAGTACTTAAAAGTAAACATTTGTTCTGTGCCATTTGCAACTAAAAAACTATTGCTGCAATATTATCTGAAATATACTGAACTGGTGATATTAAAACATGACCTGTTCCAAAAGAGATATCTACCATTAACACCATTTACCAGCCAAATGCTGGTAAATCATGCAAGTGGCTGGTACTGTATGTTGCACGCACCAGCCAAAAATAACAATGGCAATCTATTGAGTGGCTGGTAACATTTCAACATTCACTAGGCTAGCCATTTGGCCAGTGGACAAAAATGTTAAAATTTGACCTCTGCAACCGTATTGTTTAATTACACGGGGTCTCTAATGACACATTTTAAGTCTACTATAAATAAACATATTCCTCTATCCTCTCACTCAAACCCAGTGTAATGGTAACCTGATAAACCTGTAACATTAACGTTACGTGGTCAACAATAAACCTGTAACCTGCCTATAAACCGACAGATGTATTTATGTATGTAACTATGTATTTTTCTACTTTTAACGTTAGCCAGTAGATGGTGGCAGCGGAACGTAATGATTAACATTACCGACCTTTTTTATGTCATGTCAAGAGTTGGATGTCAACGCCACTCAACGCAAACAAGTGTGACAAGCAAACATTCACTCGTCTTTTCAAATATTCAGTTACAAAGCTAGTAGCAAGCTAAGTTAACATTACATAGCTGATGCTGAGCTAAACATGTTTGCTAACCGTCCATATGCGTTAATGTGACTGACCTCTCCGGGTGAGTTTTCAAGTGCCTGATGACATTTGACGTTGTTGCACCTCCTTGATTTTAATATTGCAGACTTTGCAGTGTGCGCTCCTTTTGTTGGTGCCGCCGGCGTTTTGTTCGAAGTTTTTATAGTTGAACCTAATTACAAGCGGTACAGCTGCAGGTGTGCCGCCGGTCGCCATGGTGTTACCATGATGTTAATATTAAAGGTGGGGTAGGTAAGTTTGAGAAACCGGCTCGAGATACACTTTTTGTTATATTCCATGGAATGCTCTTAACATCCCGATAGCCGGCCCGACTAAAATAACTGGATGGCCTACCTGCCTGTCAGCCTTCCATCGGGGCACACATTTATCTCGTGCCCTCATTGGTCATGTGCGCGTTCGTGTGTGTTGGAGGAGGGGCTCTGTGAGGAAGCGATCTCGAGCCGGTTTCTCAAATGTACATACCCCACCTATAATATGCCAAAAATAGAAAACACAATGATTGTTCACGAGTCCCAAAACACGAGTCCAAGTCGAGTCCGAAGTCTTTTGAGCAGGAGTCCAAGTCAAGTCTGAAGTCTCTGTGTGTGCGACTTAAGTGCGACTCGAGTCCGAGTCACAAACTCGAGTCCCCATCTCTGGGAGACCGTTTAACACTGTGTACTCCAACACCATGTTACCCCCCCAGAACACACACACACACACACACTCACACATACCATGTATACATCACTTCAGGGGACATTACATTGACTTACATGCATTTCCTGGAGACTTATCTTAACCATAACCAACACATGCCTAACCCTTACCCTTAACCTTAACCTTACCCTAATCCTAAACCTAACCAAGTCTTCACCCTAAAATTAATGATTCCCCTCATGGGGACCTCCATTTTGTCCCCATAAGGGAGGCGAGTCCCCACACGTGACTATGTAAACAGATTTAGGTCCCCACAAGTATAGTAATGCTAGGCCACACACACACACACACACACACACACACACACACACACACACACACACACACACACACACACACACACACACACACACACACACACACACACACACACACACACACACACACAGAGAGCTGTTCACACTTTCACTACAAGTAACTATCCATCAGCTGTGTGTTGGAGAGAGACCTGTGTGTTGGAGAGTGTGTGTGTGTGTGTGTGTGTGTGTGTGTGTGTGTGTGTGTGTGTGTGTGTGTGTGTGTGTGTGTGTGTGTGTGTGTGTGTTAGTGCTCACGCTGTTGCGCAGGAGGACGAGTGAGTGATGGCAGTGACAGTATAGACGGCATGTGCTGTGAAATGTCACCGTGGCGATCGATGGTGTTTAACGAGGCTGGAGGCTGATCTGGACCTCATGCTAACATGAAGCTGTCCTCGCTTCCCTCTTCCTCCCCCTACTCACCCTCCTAATCCCCCTCTAGTCTCTGAGAG